TTTTTTTTTTTTTTTTTTTAATTTCTCTTTTCATAAGTTCATTTCATATGACAAAACTTTATAGATGTGAAATATATAAAAGTATTGGAAACAAAATATTTGAGTTTTTTATCAAAGTGAAGCATATTGTTTGAGCTGATCCTCCCCTTTTTATGGGAAATTCCAAATGTTAATATTTGTCTCCCAATTGGGAACAGAATGAAATTTCAAAAACCCAATCTCCTGTGACGCAGTCATTGCTGTTCCCACGCAGTTCTATCCATGAGGCTCTGTATGATGAGCTTTATTGATACCATATTCAGAATGAGCACCAAGTCTTTTAATGCTAACCTTCACAGCACGACCAATTTGACAGCAAAACAATAGTGCCCCAACAATGGGTTACCCTATGCTCACTTTCATCCTTTTTTTCCCTTGTAGTTAGTTTTAGACGGACAGTATTCCACATATGATCAAGTCCATTGGGTGTATTCTGTATGCTTGCACCATAGAGTGTTACGAGACATTTGGTTCATCATTACTATAAACTAGTGAAACAAGTCATAAAAATTGGAAGTCGGCAAGGGTTCTCCCCCAAGGGCTATTTTAAAAAGTTAATAGAAGGGGCCAAAAAATACCAACCCCAGCCTAAGGGCCATGTCGGATGTTAAACTTAGGCTGTGTTAACTACACTTAAAACAAGTGTCAGAAATTCAACCAGTAAAATGTACAAAGTGCAATCATATTGTAGCAAAGTGAGGACTTTTCAGGGGAATAATATTTCCCAATTGTAGTATGTTATTATCTGACTGCTCCATGGGGATAATACCAGCACAGCTTGCTGGTTGTCAGTTCCAACCCCGGCACTGCCCTGGGGTCTTGAACTATGTCTGGGACTAGCAATCGGCTCTGGTGCAGTGCCAGTGATAGGACTGACAATCAGCTGATTGTCAGCCCCAGGCCTTACCCTACATGGAGGTTTCACACCATGTCTCATGTTATGCTTAGAGATTGTAGTAAGCAGTACCTACCTACATTTTCTACGCAGAAAATGTTAATATGGCATGGTAATGTGATCTAAAAACATGCTAAGTGTCCTGTGCAACAGTGCCCCAAGGTTCAGTCCAGTCTAGTCCTATGTTCTTATTCATGGAGTCTCGTCTTACCCAAATGTCATCTTCTATCTCTGCCTTCCAAAAGCCTAAACATCTGAATCTGGGAAGAGACTGAGACTTGAGTGAAGTTTTTCCTGTGCCTACCTTGAGCAAGCAATTACCCCTGCCTCTGGCACATGAAGAGGACCAAGTCTCCATCACTGTAAATCAGGATATAGCCACTGAAGCCAGTGGAACTACATTGAGTAATACTCAGAGCTGGCCTTTTATCACTTTTTTTTTTTTTAACCACTAACAAGATACTCTAAAAAAAAAAGTATTCCATATACTATGTGCTATTAATATAAAGGGTGTTTTGCAGTGTTCTGGAATAATTTATAGTTATCTTTCTTCCTGCTTAGCATGGCATATATATTCAAGACACTCAAGAGCTGGTTCTGGTGGGAAAACATCTGGATGCCTGCCAATGTCACATGGGCAGATTTTGAAGACCGTGATGGCTACACCTTTCCAAAGCCACATCAGTTATATGCTTGTATACCCTTCACACTTGTTTTGCTGATTATCCGATTCTTCACTGAAAAGTAAGAGCCCTAACAACTATGAAACTGTATGTATGTAATTTTACTTTTGTTTCCTCCCCTCAACTTTCAGGCTATTAGCAAGCTACAATGTGTCTAGACACGCATGTAAATGATTTCATAATGATAGATTAGCTGATCAGATGCCAGAGTGGGATAGTTCAGGTAACATAGCAGGTGATACTAGTGGAATGAATACATAGGGATATAGTCACTAGTGAAATCTAGAGCACCTACCCTCCTCTGCTACATTTCCATGGACAGACCAATTTACAAGGGAGGGATCCCTGTGGGTCAGGGGTGGGCAATTATTTTGGGCAGAGGGCTGCATACCCAGTTTTGGCAGGCTGTCGAGGGCTGCATGGGTAGCCCCGCCCCTTGACAGGTGCCCCGACCCCTGGTCACCATCTTGGGACCAATGTCCCAGGGCCAGCACCAGTAGGGTCCAAATCGGGATGCAGGGTGGAAAGGGTCTGTGGAGCCAGGCTGGGCTGCACCAGCAGGGAGAGGGGGGAGCTGGCCAAGCTTCATAGAGCCCTGCCAGCCAGGACCCTGTATTCCTGATGCTCTGCTCTGAGCCACACCAGCGCTGGCCCCGGGACACCGGTGCGGGCCCCATGCTCCTGCTGGCTCCCGCACCTGCTCACTCCCAGTGCCCCCCAGCCCTGCGGTACAGGTGGGGGACAGCGCACAGCTCTGACCCCCTGCTTGCTGGCAGGGAAGAAGCTGGTGCTGAGCGCAGGGGAGGAGCGGCCCCTCGCCTGCCCCATGGCTGGCGCTCCCTGCTGCAGGCACTTGCAGCCCACGTGAGGCTGTTTGGAGAAGGCACAGGCAGCCCCAGGAGGTCTGCAAACAGCTACAGCGCGGGGCGCTGGCCACAGGGCAAGCAAGGGGCCACTTTTCCCTGTGCTCAGCACCAGCTTGTAACCCAGCTCTGGGCTCACCCATTGGCGGCAGCAGCTGTGGCCTCCCCACTTGCTACAGCAGGCAGTGTTGGCTGCTGCTGCCTGCCCAGAGCATGAGCTTGGCAGCTCACAAGCGGCAGTAGCAAACCCTGCCCAGCGCGGCAAGCAGGGGGGCTGCAGCTGCTGTTGCCATGCGCAGTCC